GTCTTGGAGGGGGCAATGCCAGGTAAGAGGATTGCGGAGAGGACAGTTGTGGATCCCGCTGGCCTGAGGTTAAGTTCTGGAAGCATCTAGAGCAGGCCAGACCCTGAAAGGCTGCAAGACCACTCTGTACCTGATTTCCTGGGCTGTGCATCAGGTTACCTGGAGCTCTTTTTAACAACATCCAGACCCCCCCACTCCCTCTCAAGGTTCCTGAACCTGGATGGTCTTAGGGTAAGGTGACCAGATTTTAACATTGGTAAAGTGGGACACCATTGATAAAACTCATATCCTGGCGAAATAGCCACATGGCAGCAGAAAGCCACATACCCTAGCTTGTTGTGCGTTCTTTCAAAAAATCGGGACTTTTTAAAAACGCCACGGGATGCGGGGAAAATTGTTAAAAATCAGGACTGTCCAGCCAAAAGTGGGACGTCTGGCCACCTTGTCTTAGGGCAGAGCCCATGGACTCTGTATCTTCTACGGTTTCCCAGAAGATAGACTTGATAAACCAAAGATTAGCAAACCGCTAGCTTTGTAGCTGCAAAGACCCAGACTGTGGGCAAAAAGAGACTATTTGCCGCTTTACCAGCAGTGACCTGGGGCAAGCTCTTGATCCTGAGAGCAACCCCCCAGCCCTGAAATAGTGAGAGTAATGTCTACACTGCGAGCTGGGAAATGAGAAATTGTCGGTGAATTGTGTTCTGGAAGCATCTGTAAGGAAAGCCACACAAGCTGGAAGGTGTTAGGACGAGGTGGTGAAGGAGCGGAAAGAGAATCACTGAGGCTGTGGAAGAGAGGGGGGCAAAGGGGGCAATAGGTGTCTCTTGGGGCCTGCACAGACCCGTAGCGGAGCGGGTTTCTCCTCGCCTGTCCTCTCTGAGGTGCAGAGAACTGCAGATTGGCTGGCCTGCCCATGACAGAATCAAAAGCAGTGTCTCAAACAAAGCGGACATTTGCTTTCCTCCTATCCCTTTTTCTGCTCACATTCACACGTTCATAGGGGAGTCAACCTAGATAGGATTGAAAAAAAAAAACCACCATGAATTCAGTGCCCTGAGTGGATTCACAGTGACCCTGGAGGGCAGGGGCAGTGAGTAGGAACCTATATTGGTGGCCAAGGGCCTTGGGTGAACTCGTGGAGCAGCTTGGGTGGAGTCACACCTTCCGTCTTGTTTCTCTGCGGCTTTGGCTCTTCCGTTCCCAAGGTAGATGCTTCTGGCACTGGAGCCGTATCTGATGGGAAGAACAGCCCCGTGCCGGTGACCACGCTTTCCCTGCACTTCTCATTTATTAGCATTTAGTCTCATGGCCACAATTATGCCTGCAAGCAAGGCTTCGAAATGGGCTTTATGCCCAGTGGGCCTGTGCCCAGCGCAATGTGGATTCTATGTCTAAGGAAGGATGAGGGAATGGGGAAATGGACCGCAGCGAGCAATCTCTGCCCTGAGGTGGCAAGTGAGCCCAAGTCTGTGTGGGCAGGGAGGAGCCTCTCGGGGTTCCATAAACATGGACTCAGAGGGGAAAGACGGGGCCCCTCAATGCCCTCTCCTTCCAGGAACGCCTGTCATGCAAGTGACGGCCACGGATGAGGACGATGCCATCAACACTTACAACGGGGTGGTTGCCTACTCCATCCACAGCCAAGAGCCAAAGGACCCACATGACCTCATGTTCACCATCCACCGCAGCACGGGCACCATCAGCGTCATCTCCAGTGGCCTGGACCGGGAGGTGAGTGGCCCCGAAAGGATGGCCCACGCAGGCTTGCCTGGACTGGGGCCAGGGCTCGGGCAGACCCCCCCCTGTCCCCTACCTCCAAGCCCATGGAAGGGCCCTAGGGACCCCGGCCCAAAGGGGAGGTTGCTGCTGTGTCCATGTGCTGCTGCCCCAGGCCTCCCCTGGGCTAAGGGCCTGCTGCAAACGATCTCGTTAGACCTCCTCCGAGGCTGGGGCAGCTGCAACACGCAGGCGTATGGTGCTTGCTGTAGGTTTTCTCATTTCCTCTCGGAATGGCTCACTTAGCGTGCACATCACCCAGATTTGTCCCTCGTGTGCTACAAAGCAGAATTAACGCCATGGAGACTGAGATTGCCTCCTGTTTCCTAATGAATACCTTTCCCAAAGCCCCACTTTGTCCCACGGCGGGTCGGCCAGGGGCCAGTGCCCTGACCTCCCCAGGAGAGCGCGTTGTACTACCTGTACTGCACTCCCCAGAACCACCCTGGGCAGTGGGGAGGGGTAGGCACGAGGCTGTGAGCAGCACTCCATCACACCTCCCTGAGTCCAGGGGCCTCCAGCTCCCAGCCAGCGGGCTTCCATGCTTTTTCTCCCCAGAGAGTACCCGAGTACACGTTGACCGTCCAGGCCGCAGACATGAACGGAGACGGCTCCATCACCACGGCAGTGGCGGTGGTGGAGATCCTGGACGCCAATGATCACGCACCCGTGTTTGACCCCCAGGAGGTAACGCCCGCCCTCTTTCTTCATCCCTGAATGAAGGCCCAAGTGAAAGTTTAGGGGGGATGCTGAGCCACCTGGGAAGGGTGCTGGGAAAATTCAGCAGGGTAACTGTGGAACCAGAGGGTGAACTCCCCGCCCCCCCACTCCCGGGGAGAAAGCTGATGCTATCTGCTCCAGGGAAGTTTCCAGGCTGGGAAGCCGCAGCCGCATGCAGGGCCGCTCTGAGTGGGAATCAGCCCAGTGGCTGTGGGGTTGGGAAAGAGAGTAAGGAGTTTCATGCAGGACTGATATTAGGGCACCCAAAAGAATATAGTCCCATGGTCTGTTCCCATACATCTTACCTTCATACAGAAAATGCATATGGATAAAAAACAGATTTGCTATTTTTCAAAGCTGAGGTATGGTTTTCAGGTTCAAAAACTCATCATCATAAAATAAAGGAAAAGGAGTTTTTCCTTCCCAAGGAAACTACAGAGCCAGTCTATATTAGTTCAATTCAAGCCCTACACTTACTAACCCCTCTGTGCCCTATCTGTGAACTTGTGAAATGGAGACGATGGCTCCCAAATAACAACAACTCACGGCCACTGAGTCGAATGCAACGTAGAGAGACCCAGCAGAACTGAGTCGACCATGCTTCCAAGTCTGTGAGTCGCTATGAGAGCCCCCCAAAAAAGTCTTTATGGGAACAGACAACCTCATTGTCCTTCCACAGAGAGACTGGTGGGTTCAAACTGCTGACCTTGTGATTAACAGCTCGATGTGTAGCCCACTGTGCCACCAGGGCCCCTTGAAGACCATGATAATAAATAACAGCCACCACACTGTTGGAGGTTTTACAATGAGACCGTCCGTGCCAAGCTCTTAACACAATGTCGGATACACCATAAGGACCCCAGAGAAAAATCTCTGCTGATGTGAAAACCCCCAAAGTGCCCTGCTTGCCTTCCTGAAGGCACGCCTGCATGCCTCTGGTAACACAGGCCTCGGTGTCATGCACGGTGGCCCGCAGCCGGCTCTGGCTGTGGGACATTTCTCCACTTCTGAAGAGCCGGTTTCTAGCCTTGCCACATGTCCCAACACCCCAAAAAGTCCCAAGTCAGTGCTCCAGATCAGTCAGGACCCTCACCCCTCATGCCACCTTTCATCCACCTTTCTCTTCACAGCTAGACAGGGGCCTGGACATCCAGACCAGACAGATGCCTCTGTGTGAGTCAGGTCCAGGGCAAAGGCCAGGCAAGGCCCAAGAGTAGTGTAGGACAACCAGAGCTGTGAGGCTAGCACTTAGTACATTTTGTACCTGGTAGGCACCCTGAAACCTGAGAAGCAGATTGGGCCATCCGGGAGGTGGGTGTTAAGGGACTCGGTGCTCCCCGGAGCTGGATGAGCATTTGCAGCTGTGGAGGGTGGAACAGTCTCTGGGTGCTGACTGTCCTGTACTTCCCACCTTGGCAGTACGAGACCCGAGTGCCTGAGAACGCCGTGGGCCAAGAGGTACAGCGACTGACGGTGACTGACCTGGACATCCCCAACTCACCGGCATGGCGCGCCACCTACCGCATTGTAGGAGGTGATGACGGGGACCAGTTTGCCATCACCACCCACCCTGAGAGCAACCAGGGTGTCCTGACAACCAAGAAGGTGAGTTGACTTTGGCTTAGCCAAGGGTCGCTCCTGAGACTCCTGGGATAAGAAAGTCTTATCTGTTCCACCTGCAGGACACCCTGTGCTGGGCAACCTGCCTGTGACCCTTCACCAGGGGGAGCACAGACCAGGGGCACCCGGCATTGCCTTCTTTTTCAGGCTGGGGAGTTGCTGTCCACATGAGCTCGTACATAAGCACCGGGTCATGAAACAGGTCAAAGTTGCTGATCTCATTGAAGCAAATTGGTATAATCCCTCCGGCCAGATCCCAGTTCTAGTGGCCGCCCCCACACTGCCTTCCCACCGAGAGGGTCTCCCAACTGCAGAAGGCATCTGCTTTATTTGAATTCATGCTCCTTTCACCTTTACCCTACAACCATCTGTCCTGGTGTTTGAATAGTAAAATCTCTAACACTACTCAATAAGCAGCAAACCCTTACCTCTCCCAACATCTCTGAATAAAATTGATGCTCCAAGAAATCATAGTGCAAACCACCCTCAGAAGTTGCACCCACTCTACATTAAAACAACCACACCAGAAACATGCCTATGTGAAACATATTCTCTCCAAGTGCCGTCAGGTGTTCCGACTCACAGTGCACACCAGAAGAAAGCATTCCCTGATGAGTCCATGGTTGCAGTCGTGGGGCCCATTGGTCTCATTGAGGGTCTGCGTCTTTTTGGTTGATTTTCTACAAAACATATTCTGGACTCCATTTACAAACAGGCTTTTCCCCACCATCTACAAATGTCTAGGAGGATATTAGAAAGTCACATGGGACCCAGAGTATTGTAGAGCTTGGCAGCCTTACCCCAGCCTGCTGGTGCCAGTTGCTTGCACGCGCGCGTGCACACACACATACTTCCACCACCATCATTGTATCAACTACAAATGCTTCTGCAAGTTTCTAAAGCTGTCATTGCCCATTGGGAACCTGTGATCTCCAGCTTACTGATCAGTTTGCGCTTGGGGTGTTCTGGAAGGCCCCACTGGATGTCCGCTCAGGAAAAAAAGGAGGCTTTAAGGCCTTTGAACAATCTAGAAATATCCATGGCACTGCATGGGCCCCTCCCAATATGGTGGTCAGGTGTGCCCCCTTGTCTCCTAGGGCTTGGATTTCGAGGCCGCGAACCAGCACACCCTGTCCGTGGAAGTGACCAACGAGAGCCCCTTTGTGGTGAAGCTCCTGACGTCCACAGCCACCGTCGTGGTGCACGTCGAGGATGTGAATGAGCCGCCCGTGTTCGTCCCCCCCTCCAAAGTCGTCGAGGTCCAGGAGGGTACCCTCGCCGGCGAGCTCGTGTGCACCTACACGGCGCAGGACCCTGACACGGAGCACCAGAAGCTCAGGTACTCCACAGCCTGGCCCTGTTCTGGTGCAGCGTCTGCTCTGATTGCCAGGAAGATGGGTCAGTATTCTGCACATCACCCCTTTTAGAGGCTGAGGTGGAGGGGAGGGGATGAATGTCCCCTCCTCTCTGCTCTCTACTTAGGCCCCCCATTCACTGATGAGATGATGATCATGCCTTTTCCATTGGGTCCTGCCCAGAGGCCCTGCTTCCATTCCCAGTTGAGAGGAGGAAGCCTTGAAGGAGGATCCCAAAATGACGCAAAATTCTGGATGGGACTCTTCCCATCTCTCCCTCTCCAGCTACCACATCCTGAGAGACCCAGCAGGGTGGCTGGCGATGGACCCAGACAGTGGGCAGGTCACTGCGGTGGGCATCTTGGACCGAGAGGATGAGCGCTTTGTGAAGAACAACGTCTACGAAGTCATGGTCCTGGCCACGGATGATGGTGAGAACTCTCTCCCTGCTCTTCCACAAGTTTCTCCGGCGGCCAGACACAACGTGTGCCCTTCTCCCCCATGGGCAGTGCATGGTGTGAGGAAGGGGAGTGTAAAGGAAGCACTTTGGAGAGGCAAAGGGGTCAAAGGCCTGCCTGAGGGTAGATGACCATGAACCCAAAGCTCTAACACCCCAAGCTTTTAAGAGGTATCATTACACTGAGGGTCCCTTTCAGCCCAATGTGGGGTTCACTGAGCCTTGATTTGGCCTACCAGTTTCCCCCCGTGACTGATTGATAGGGACAGTCTGGTTTAATATCTTAGGCAAGATTGTAAGGATGCATCTGGGATCCCTGAAAATAACAGGATTAATGAGCAGTGCTAGGGTTACAGGGGGAATTGCCTTCTCTGGCCGTAGAGCGATTCCAACAGGGCTGTGCAGGCAGGCTTATCTGAAACGGATTGGCGGACACTGGATGCGCCCCAAGGTGGTTGGTCGGCTTCCCCTGGCGATAGACGGGTAGCAGCTGTCTGGATGAAGTGGCTGCAAAGCTGCTAGGGGGCTTGACGTTGTTTCGTCAGCCCACCTGAGGGCCCTTCCTGAAAAGTGGCTGTGTGTGTGACTCTGAACAGGGAGTCCTCCTACGACCGGCACAGGGATGCTCCTGCTCACACTCCTCGACGTAAACGACCATGGCCCAGTACCCGAGCCCCATCAGATCACCATCTGCAACCAGGACCCTGTGCCCCAGGTGCTGAACATCACAGACAAGGACCTGTTCCCCCACACCTCCCCTTTCCAGGCCCACCTCGCCCACGACTCTGATGTGCACTGGACGGCAGCGGTCAACGAGAACGGTAATGGAGAGCTCTGCCGGGCGTATGGTCCCGTCCCAGGGCCCTGTACATATCCCACCCTGGCACCTCCTCAAAGACACAGGCTCAGGCCCCCCACCTCCCCCACCCCTCAATGAACATTGGGAACCATTTAGGATCTGCGCCCCCAACAGTACTCTATATCCAGTTGTTTATGAGCTCAGCCCAGAGAGGACTAGGGAGGAATGCTGCAAGTGCTACGTGGACTTGTTTTTCAGCATAGTGTAAACCTTTGCAATTCCCCAGGGGCCCTTGAAGACCATTCCAGCCCTTGGACAGATGGAAAAACTGGAGGCCCAGAAGGAGTGTAACTCACCTGTCTTTCTAGGATTCCATCGCTGTCTATTGCTAAGTGGGCAGTGATGGTCCCCTGGTTGAATTCTCACCTTCATGCAGGAGACTCAGTTCGGGTCCAGCCATGGTACCTCGTGTGAGCCACTGCCTTGCCTGTCAGCTGCTGTGAGGCTGAACAGGTTTCCGTGGAGCTTCCAGACTCAGGTGGACCAGGAAGAAAGGCCTGGCAGTCTACTTCCAAAACTCAGCCAGCGATGACCACCCACAACCAATCACAGGCATGGGGCGGGCCCAGGCAGCGCTCTTTCTGTCATACATGGGTCTTCATGAGATGGGGCCAACTTGACAACAGCTCACAATCCGAGCTGACACACACTGAGCGTGCGTGCTGTGGTTATGTCAGACACTGCTTCCAAGGCTCCACAGAGATTAGATTCCTTAATCCTCACAAATATCCTGGGGAGAAGTGTGCGCACACACATTTCACACAAGAGAAAACCGAGCCTCGTGGTTGCTGTTAAGTACCATTGAGTTGGTTCCGACCCATAGCAGCCCTAACGCACAACAGAAGGAAACACTGCCCTGTCCCGCGGCATCCTCACAATTGTTTCTATGCCTGAGCCTATAGTTGGCAGCCACAAGGTCACTCCCTCTCCTTGAGAGCCTTCCTCTTTGTTGCTGCCCCTCCACTTTACCAACCATGATGTCCTTCTCCAAGGACTGGCCTCCCCTGACAATACGTCCAAAGTGTGCAAGACAACACCTGAGGCTTACAGAGGCTTCACGTCTTGCCAGAGGTGCCATGGCTACGGAATGATGGTGCTGGGACTTGAACTCGGGGTTGGATTTACCACCCATGATCTGCCGCCCACCATTTATTGGACCTGAGTGGATGTACAAGGTTTTTTTTTTCCTGTAAGATTTCTGCCATCCTCTGTGCCTGGTAATTTTGTCCTTATTTGCAGAGGAAGCTCAACCAGGTTAAATTGCATGGCCAGGAGTACAGAGCGGTTGACTGGAGGGGCAGAAATGGGAGCTAGGTTTTGACACCAGAGCCCCCCTTTCCACCTCCCACCACTTCCAGGCCCTGCCTCCTCCTGATCCCCAGCTCCAAGTTTCTCCCTCTCAGTGGCCTTACAGTTCTTACAAGGTCCTGTTGGCACCAGGCAGATGAGGACTCACAGGGGTAGTGGGTGCAGCACCAGGGCCAATAAGGCTCCTGGAGAAACCACATCACTGGTTGGAAGCACTGCCCTTCTTCTTGGGGCTCAGCACCCCCAGGATGGAAGCCAGGCACCATTTAGGATCTGGGCTCCAGAAGTGCTACCCCACATCCATATTTGCTTATGAGCTCAGCCCAGAATGGCCTCAGGAGACATGCTAGGAAAGGTACCTTGTCTCGTTTTTTAGAACGCCTGTGATTTGGGTGCATACAGCCAACATCTTTCTTTTGGAGAGCCCAAATTGGTCCCCTGCTGCCCCCTTGTGGTCTAGAAATCTTTTTTTCCCCCTTCCACTCAACCTATAAAGCACAAGTTTGGACTCAGCCAGAAGACACTATTGCCATATTGGTTATTGGTTGGGCTGTGATACACATGGTTGGCAGTTCAAAACCACCAGCAGCTCTGAAGGAGAAAGACTGGGCTTTCTACTCCCCTTAACATTCTTGGAAACCCACATGGGTCATGAGTCAGCATTGCCTCGGTGGCAGGAATTTTCTCCATTTACTAGCTTTGTGACATCTCAGTTATTAAACTTCACAGTTGTTCTATGGCCTTCTCTGTGAAACAGGGGTCAACAATTGAGCCCAGGCCCATACAGTCTTTGTGAGGGTTTCCTAAAGGACTATAGGGAAGGTGCTTCATCTTGCATGTGAGTGCATAGCTTCTCAGTGGGCCACCATCTTCCCCATCCCCATTTCCCAGCAATCGGCCCCGGTCTGGCCCTGTGGGAGAATGAGCCCTCTCCCCAGGGTGCCAACACCTGATCATAGTATTGATATCTGGTTCTTGATTTTCACTTCACTTGCCCATCCTATTTTATCCCTGTTGTCAGGGATTAACCCAGACTCCACCCCTGTGCATCCTTGGCCTAAGTGACTTGACCACCCCTTGGGCTCAGTTTCTACACTGTAAAATGAGGACGGTTACAGTAACCACTTACAAAGCTGTGCTGAGGACACCAATAAGCTGAGATGTGGCCTCTGCCATCATCAACTGAGCGCAGCAGGGGAGCGGGATGGTGACGAATGTTTGGTGGCATGCTCTATGTTCTCATGGTCTGCCACTTCAGACCTTGACGTCTGTGGGGAGGGGTTGTTTGTGATTGCCCCTGTGGTTGGGGGACATGCTTGGCTTTGAGTGGTGTAGTTCTTGGGAAAGTTCCTTATGATGAAACCTGGTGCCTCCCAAGCGTACAGCGCCCCCTTGAGGCGCCTGTGCATACCGTTCTTCAGAGAGATCCCTGACCCATAAAAAATGCCTGTCCCCCCCAACCCCAGGACTGCCACACTGTCCTGAGTGAGGCCCGTTGGGTTGGCCATGCTCCTGCTCTGTGTTGAGCCAAAATTTGCCACTCACCTTGGACCTTTGAAGACCAGTTGGTTAGTCCAAGTCCATTATCTACTGGCAACCCTGAATCTGTGTACAATCAGTGATCTGGGGGTAGCACAGGCTAGCTTCTGGGCTGATCCTCTTCAACAATACCTGTTCCCTAGTGAGGCATACATACCCTACATGGATTCATTAGCTAGTAATACTTTGGAAAATAAGGAGTTTTATACTTTGGATTCTGTCATGCACTTAAGATGTGAAGAGTAATTTGTTTTCATTGCAAGCTAAGATGCTGCAGTGATACGTGGTATTGGTGATTGCTAGGTGATCTCGAAGCAGTTCCAACTCTAGCAATCCAATGCACAACAGAAAGAAACGCTGCCGGTTCCGTGCCGTCCTGTAATTACTGTTTGAGACCACGGTGGCCACCGTGTTCATTCTTCTTGTTGAGGGCCTTTGTAACGGACCCTCTAATTCACCTGGTGGGCAGCGAACCACAAGGTCAGCGGTTCAAAACTACTAGCTACTCCGAGGGAGAAAGGCGAGGGTTTTGACTACCAAAGAATTACCATCTTGGGGCAGTTTCGTTCTGTCTGTCCTATAAGGCCACCATGACTCAGAATCAACTCAATGGCAGTGAGTTTGCTTTTGTTTTTTCTATTTTCCAAGCATGATGGTAGTAGACTTTAATTCAGGAGACGAGGCTTTCTGCTCCCCTGTAAATGTACAGCCTTGGAGACCCGTAGGAGTGGCTCTACTCTGTCCTGTAGGGGAGCGTGCTGAGTTGGAATCGACTTGATTTTCTGGAATACACCTTAAAGTCATGAAATAGGAAAATAGGTGGCCATTTCATATGAATATTCAGAGACTGGTGGCTAGATCTCTTAGGAGAAACAGTCTAGCAGCTGAAGGTACTGACAAATTGACCCGATGACATCACTTTTTAAACTTTATATATAATTTTTTTAAATTTGTTTTAGATTTACATTTTTTTCCCAAGTAACTAAAGTTATTTTTCTGCCCCAATAAATACTTTTCATGATGACAGATATGACTTTGACCAAATGTCAGTTTTAGCACTTGGCCAAAGTCTGCCTTGGGGACACTCCCTCTCCCCCAGACCTCCTTGCCCAGAGGCAGGGCTGTCTCTTTATCATGGTGTACTCTGTCCTCCACATGTGGCATCTCAAGGCCAATCAATTGTCTGTCCACTCCAGGAGACGCAGTGGCCTTATCTCTAAAGAAGTTCCTAAAACAAGACACATACGATGTGCATCTTTCTCTGTTGGACCACGGCAACAAGGAACAAGTGACAGTGATCAAGGCTACCGTGTGTGACTGTAGCGGCCACATGAAGACCTGCCCCGATCCCTGGAAGGGGGGGTTCGTCCTACCCATCCTGGGTGCCGTCCTGGCTCTGCTACGTGAGTACCAGGGTGGGGTAGTTAAAAGAGCTGATTCGATCCTAAATGTCTGGGACTAAGGGCCACCAACACTGTCCATTTGTTCCTTGAACTCTTAGTTTTAGGACTGTCCGTTAGCCAGTAGGTATGTATGGAGCATCTGGAATGTGCTTTGTGGCTACTATAGGGAACAGACAGACTGTCGTGGAGGCTAGGGGCTAGGGCAGTAGTTCTCAAGTGTGCCCTCTCTGTGAGCATTACATGGGATTTTTAGAAAAATCAATGATCAAGCCCCAATTCATTCAGACCTGTTGACCCAGAAACTTGGAAGGTGGGACTCTTAAAAATTTGTTTCAACAAGCATGCACCCCAGGGAACACTGATAAAGCTGGAGTTGGAGAACCTTCTAGGGGATCAGGGAGCACTGTGGGGAGTTCCCACTGGATGTTGGCCTTCATAAACAGCGGGGGTTTTTTTAGGTACTGAGGGAGCCGTGGAGATGTGTACATCAGGGGAGGAGCGTGATAGGGGCCATTGCTCTGGCTACCCAAGGGAGGAGTCTCAAATTCAAAGGGCCCTGAGGGTTGGGGGTCTTGGGCTGCTGTGGTGTCGTGGGGTGGGTGTTCACTCCCTACTCTTTCAGTGCTCCTCTTGGTGCTGCTTTTGTTGGTGAGAAAGAAGCGGAAGGGCAAGGAGCCCCTTTTGCTCCCGGAAGATGACACCCGGGACAATGTCTTCTACTACGGTGAAGAAGGGGGTGGTGAAGAAGACCAGGTAAGGCAGTTGGCGCTCTGCCCTGGGGTTGAGCTGAATGCTCTCGGGCCCCTTGGCAGAAGCAATGGGGCCCCTCAACATACCATGCGTGAGACATTGGGCACACCCTGGAATGAGGCATCAGGCTTCATGCAGGGCGGACCACCAACCTCCGGCTGTGCTCACTTGAAGCCGCCAAACTGACCTCGAGCCCATACTTCCTGTAGGAAGGCAGAGGCAGGTGGCAATCTCTGACATCTGTCTGTCTTCTGAGGCCCGCCACCTATGCACCCAAGCATTCAAGCAGTGGGGAGATAGGGAGTAACATTTGGTGGTGATGAGGAAGTGGGGAGGGTGTTTCTTAAGCCCGTGCTCCATGATGTTCCTAAAGGACTATGACATCACCCAACTCCACCGTGGTCTCGAGGCCCGGCCAGAGGTGGTTCTTCGCAACGACGTGGCACCAACCTTCATCCCCTCACCGATGTACCGTCTGCGTCCTGCCAACCCAGATGAAATTGGCAACTTCATCATCGAGGTGAGTCAGGGTAGCAGCCCTTTGGTTCAAGCCTCGCACCCACAGCATGAGAGGAGAGGCATGAGCTGGGAGTCTGGGCGCTGGGTCCAAGTCTTCGTTCACTAAGAACATGCTGTAACAGAGCACAGTGGGTGGTTTTAGGGAACAGGCGTTTATTTCCTTGAGGTTCCACTGCCATCGAGTTTAGGCCGACTCATAGAGACCCTACAGGACAGGGATGAACTGCCTCTGTGGGTTTCCAAGACTGCAGCTCTTTATGGGAGTAGAAAGCCTCTTTCTCCCAAAGAGTGGCTGGTGGTTTCAAACTGCTGACCTTGCAAGTTAGTAGTCCGTCGCATCACCACTACCTGACCAGGGCGCTTTCTGGAGGTTAGGAGGTGGCTAGGGTTCTGAATTCAGGATGCCTGGTCTAGAAGAAAGCGGTCTCCGTCCTCTGTGGGCGGGGTCCTGGTCTCAGTTTCTCTGGCATTTTTCTTGGCGTGCCTGGGAGAGCGCTGCAAGGCCGCTCACTTTCCTGCTGGTGCTTCCTTGGAGCCTCTCTTCTGTGTCTCAAAAGCAACACGTTCACCTCCCTGGGGGTCGGACAACCGAAAAGTGGGTGAAGGAAAACGCCGGACAGGGCAAGCTATGACACAATGATAATTTATAAATTATCAAGGGCTCATGAGGGAGGGGGGAGCGGGGAAGGAGGGGAAAAAATGCGGACCTGATGCCGGGGGCTTAAGTGGAGAGCAAATGTTCTGAGAATGACGAGGGCAATGAATGTACAAATGTGCTTTACACAATTGATGTGTATGTATGGATTGTGATAAGAGTCGTATGAGCCCCTAATAAAATGATTGGGGGGGGGGGAGCGACACGTTCAAGGCACAGTTGACCTTGGTGGAGTGTCATTCACCTATCAGAGAGAGCCCTTTTCCCAACTGGGATGTTGGACACAGGTGTAGGGGTTTGGATTAGCTGCACTTTTTGGGGGGTATATGTGCAGAGCACAGTTCAATCCATAACCACCAACTAGCTGTGTCACTTGTAGATCTCCTATAACCTAGGCTTCTTTTGCCCCCTCTGACAAGCCGTGCCTTGCAGACTGGTTAAAAATTGGAAGTCATTTGGCACTCATTCAACAAACCTAGTGGTTGTTAGGAGCATAGACTGGGGCCAGACCACCTAGCTTCGAATTAAGATCCAGATGATTCCAATGTGCACCAATATCTGGGAACCTCCGCTGGCTGTTTTAAGGGATGGATGAGGAAGTACCTGGGACCTAGGCCAGTTTTAGGGATTGTAAGTCAGTCCATCTGCCATGTGGCCCGAGCTGCACGTTTGGGTTTGTTTTTGTACAATCTCCAGGTTGTACCACAGGCCTGGGACCCACTGACGGGGCATGTAGTGTTTCTGTGGGAATGCTAGCTGTTTTCCTAACAGCCCTCTGAGCATCTCTACTGTCATTCACTCTGGTTGGACATTTGCCTTCCCTGAGGAACTCTGAAATACCAATGCCTGTGACTCAGATATCCATTTTCTTTTTTTTTTTTTTCTTTTTTTCAGATATCCATTTTCTGTTACGATTCTTTAATTTTGTGAGATCAGATACATAGCCAAGGGCATGGGAACCACAGCCATAGCCAACTAGATGCATGATGGATACTGAGCACAGCCTGGTACCTACAGCGGAGGCTCCTGGTAACAGAAAAAAGGGGAGGGAAATTGGTTGGAATTTAAAACTGGATCAGATTCAGGGAGAAGATGATAGGATGGGCGTTCAGGGTCCTTCCCAGCTCAAAACCCTCAGCCTCACTCTTCTCTTCAGTGAAGAGGGAAATGAGACTGTCTGTTCTTCGAGCCTGAGTGTATTGGGGACCATTCTGGGAAACTGTCACAACAGGAAAGCTGTTACTCAGGGCTTCTGGTTTAGAGACAATGCCTTAGCCTTGGAGCTAAATGCCTGCAGTCCTCTCCTTCCCATAGGCATCCTGGTAGTGCTGTGGGTTAAGCACCAGGCTTCCATTTCAACAAACTAGCCACTCCGAGGTAGAGAGCCGAGTCTGCATGCTCCCATAGAGATTTGCAGCCTCAGAAACCCTAAGGAGCCATTCTCCTCTGTCCTACAAGTCACTGAGTCGGAATCAACTCAGTGGGTATATGCCAGTCATTACTGTCATAAAGCGCTTCACATATACTTACATATATGTAGAGAGGGTAAGGGACTTAACCCACGGTCGCAAAACTCGTACATGGATGCTGTCTTCTAACCGAGGCTGTCTGATTTCAGAGTCCCCGCCCTTGTCACTGCCTCTGCTCCAGGTCACAGCCAGCACTTGCCTGTGAGCTGGGCACTACACCATGTACTTTATACACATTATATGCCCCTCTGGAGTCCCTTCGGGTACGACACAAAAGACTGGAGATTGGAGACACACACACACACACACACAACCCTGCCCCTTCCAGTGGTGCCTTTGAACACATGGGGCTGCCATGAGTCAGAATGCCGGACGGTCGTTTTTATATATACACAAGGGGGGTCTTCCAAGAGTGTGGGAAAATCCCAGCATCTTGTCATTCTGTTTTTCCACGAACTTTTGGAAGCCCCCCCGATATAGATGCATCTCAGAAACCCTAAAGTGTAGGTCTCTAAACTTATTTGGCAAACGCCCCCTTTTCAGGGAGAAAAAAAAATTAAAGTACAATTAAACACGTTTGTATGGTGGCCTACTATCCGGAAGAAAGTATAGGGTGCTACTTTTGCAGCCCCCTAGTGGTGACATTGGGCTGTAATCCCATAATCGCAAAGTCGGTGGTTGGAAACCATCAACTGCTCTGCAGAAAAAAGACCAGGCTTTCTGCTCCCATAAAGAGCTAGTCTCTATAATGGGATTAATCTGAGAGGACTGAACCATTGGATTGCAGGGTGAGTTATATGCCAACAAAACCGTTTAAAAACAAACCAACTCACAGGGGCAGTTCTACGCTGCCCAGTCCGGTCGCCATGAGTCACCTTAGAGCCTTTAGGGCAGTGAATTTGGGGGTCTTTCCCGCCCTCCAGGGGGTGGTATGTCCCACGTGGGGACGGACGGCCTCCAGGATGAGGCAATGGAGGCTCGGCGAGGTTGGTCAGCTCGCCCACAGCCGGTCCTGCTCTCTCTCTTGTGGCCACAGAACCTGAAGACGGCCAACAGCGACCCCACGGCCCCGCCCTACGACTCCCTGCTCGTGTTCGACTACGAGGGCAGCGGCTCGGACGCCGCCTCCCTGAGCTCCCTCACCTCCTCGGCCTCCGACCAGGACCAGGACTACGACTACCTCCACGAGTGGGGCGGCCGCTTCAAGAAGCTGGCCGACATGTACGGGGGCGGCGAGGACTAGGCCGGTCGGAGCGCCACCTCAGACCGCAGCACCCTCCCTTCAGCGCGCCAGGGCACCACCCCGCTCCGCCGAGGACTTCCGGAGCTCGCCGGAAGGGGCGGGGAGAGCCCGGGGCGGAGAGGAGTCCGCGTCTGCGCCTGCGCCTTTCCCGGGGGGACCAATGGGCACTGGCAAACTGATGCCAACGCGGAAGCCCCTCACCGGGCAGGACGTCTGCAAGGCCGGCTCGCCGGGAGTTTTTCACCTGCCATCAAATGCTCTGCCCGTGTCGTGGGCCGGACGAGCCCGGCCAGCCCATGACGACCTTCTCTTTAGCACGAACCCCATCTCCCTGGGAGGAGGCCTCCTCTTGCAACCCGGTTCCATTCTTGGTTTCTACGTTCTGTTCTCAGAGAGATAGAAGCAGGTCCTCAACCATCGCCTTGGGTCCTCCACAAACCCAGCTGAGGAGAGCTGCGGGGCCCTCTTCCTCCCCCCTCCCTCTCCGCTCTCCGGACCCCCAGGCCTCCCCGGCTCAGTTGGTGCCCCCCCCCCCTGCGATTTTATACTGAGTGTGTCTAGGTCGCCCTGTGTGGTGGTTTTTCCATTTCTTCTGTTGCGTGCTGTAGATGAAGGGTGATGACAATCGTGTAAATGTATCCGAACATTTTTTTTTTACTATTAAAGGAATTTTTCCCAGAAGTGCCAAGGGTGCGGAGTCTTTATAATCAACACACAATACCACCGGTGGCAGCGGAAGCTCAAGATACACAGGGACCGTCATTAATGCCACATCACTGCACGTGTGAAGGAGGCTGCGACGTCAAATGCTTAACATACGTAATGAGCGCGCCTGTGCGCATGCGTACGCACACTGCAAGGCTCAGTGCGCATGCGCGCGCACAAAACAAAGTGGGGGCAGTGCCACCGTGGGAGTGGAGACAGGCTCGTACCTTCTGCCGGTGTCCCTTACACTCAGCTCGGAGCAGAGCTGCTTCTCTGCCAGCGAGTAGCCACCAGCGCAGCAGGTGAGGTCTTTTCTGGAGCAGGGAGCTGCTCGCTCTGGGTGCAGTAGGGGAGTGTGCCCTCTTCTGCGCTCTGTGTTCCCTGTCAAAAAGCAAGAGCTGGAGTCTGAGCGGTACCAATGGGTAACACAGCCACTAGCTCAAAGGTTGGTGGTTCAGGTCTACCCAGAGGTGCCTCAGAAGAAAGGCCTGGTAATCAACTTCTGAACAACCGGCCCTTGAAAACCCAATGGAGCCCGCTTCTTTCCCCATACGGGTGCTCCGTGAGTAGGGTGCTCGGGAGTAGGGGTTGGCTTCGAGGCATCTGGTACTAGGAGCGCTCCTCCGGCGCAGCAGCAGCAGTATCACCTGAGGACTTGGTGAAAAAGCCCAACCTCAGCGGAAATCTGCGGAATCTGAAACGCAGGGGGCGGAGCTCTCCCTGCTCTGTTACCTCGCCTGCCAGGTGATGCTGACACATTCACTTTAAAGACCAAGGCTTAAAAAAAAGCAAAATAAAGTAAAGACCAAGGCTTTGAAGGACGCGGCTAAGGGCATCCTGAAGTCTCAACCAACCCCACTTACTGCCAGACACCTCCGTCCTTGAGAAACCCAGAGATCAAGGCCACCTCCTGCCTCTCCCACCGCCAAATCCAGCTGCCTCTGATTCCCTGTCCCAGAGCCCTGCTGCTCTTGCTGATAAGGTGGTGGGAGGATTAGGTATCTCGGTCAGCAAACACCTGCTGTCCCTTATCTTAAACTCTTCAGAGAAACCTGAATGGGGCGGCAAACCCTACCCGGAACCGTGGCTAATAATAAAACGATGCAGCCACTGTTGCCCTCTCTAGCCGTCCTCCCCTGTGATTTTTTTGGGAATTGAGAAAAGGAGGGTTTTCCAAGCCAAACCTGGCCTCGGTGTGTGGATCCAGAACCTTTGGTGATGGAGCCAGGGAGGGGATGCTGTTTGGGAAGGCAGAATCCTGGCTCTCTGCTATGCAGCTGTTTTAATAGAGTCCAAATATTCACAGCTGCTTGTTTATCCGTGGATGGCGCCCTTGGCTACTAGCCCAAAGACTGGAGGTTTGAGTCTACTCAGTAGGTGCCTTGGAATAAAGATCTGGCGATCTATTTCTAAAAAACCAGCCATTGAAAACTGTGGAGCTGAGTTCTCCCCTGCTGTGAGTTGACATTCACTCAGTGGCAGCTGGTTGGTTATGACCAATACTAACCACTCAGGTGGCCACTAACCCTGAATAACTGGCATGTCCTGCCAAGCCAGAGAAAGCCACCTATTGATTTGCTAATCCATTCCATTTCATGGTTCTCCATTTTTTGGATCCCCCTAACCCCACCACCCACTTTTATTTAAACATCTTCTGAAGAAATACAATAGCTGAGTGCATTCCCCCAAAGGAGTCATGAATATGTAAATGTATACAACTTAACCACTTGGACTAATCACCAGGGATAGTTTGGTGTGCACCCTTCTGATCTGTTCTATGTATTTGCACAGATATTTATGTCTTTTCACCTCAGCACACACACACACACACCCGCCCTCCCCCCCACCTTAGGCTATGTATTTATTGTTTTTAACAGATCCCCTTGAGCACCTATCTTTGCAGAGGCTTCTAAACCAGCCCTCCAATCTATGCGGATGAGTGAAGAGGAAGGTAGGCGAAACTGCCTGATACTGGGTGGCGAAACTGCCTGATACTGGGTGGCGGGTTCAAGTCTAGGTTGAGGCTGAAAGGATCGCTAGGACTCCAAGGTGACCTTTTCCCCCCCTCTAATCTTTAAAAAAATTTTTTATATAGATTATTTTATTGGGGGCACTTACCGCTCTTTTAACAATCCATACATCAATTATAGCAAACACATTTGTACCTATGTTGCCATTATCCTTTTCTAAATATTTACTCTTTTTTTAGACATTTACTTTTTATTTGAGCCCTTGGTATCTGCTCCTCTTTTTTCCCTCCTACCCTCCTGACCCCTTGATGAATTATAAATTATTATTATTTTCATATTTTACACTGACCGCTGTCTCCCCCCACAGTTTCTTTCCAACCCTCCTCTCCCCACCTTCCCCCTGCCCTCCTGGTATTGTTACTCCCATTTCTGTTGTACCTGAGGGCTTTAACTGACCTGGATTCCATGTGTCACGAGCTCTTACCTGTACCTGTGTAATACATGCTCCGGTGTAGCCTCAGTGAAAGGCAGGATTGGGGGTCATGATAGTGAGCGGTGAGGAAGCCTTAAAGAACCAGAGGAATACTGTGTTTCATCAGTGCTATAATGCACCTTGATTGACTCCTCCCTTCCTTATGACCCTTCCCCTCTCATCTTTTTAAAAGCCAAAGTCACAGAATGCAAATTCAATAGAAAAGATTGTTAAGAGTCAAATTTTGGTTGAACAAAGAATTAGGATGCCCATCAACCTGCCCCTAGGGCCTCATCCTCCCAAGGTGTCTCAGCTCTACCACGGAGTCAATTCCGACACATGGGGACCCTCCCAGAGATTCTGGGGCTGTAGTCTTCCCTGGAGCAAACAGACAGTAGTTAGCTGTCCAATGCATGTAAATACTATATACATTCTATTGTTATTTTTACTGCTATTGTGGTGGTTGAGAGACGGACAAGGCCACACACTCACACGTTGGGTGGGAACTGCACTTCTTACCTAAAGTAGGCTGCTCCTAGTTCTTAGCCAGCTATTAGCCTCTTCATAGATCAAGGGGACTATTTCCCCAAAGGCTCTTCCTCCTGGTGCCCAGAAGAGGGCGCCATTGAACCGGGTCATAGCTGTGGACCGGCAGGGAAGGACCTGAGCAGGGAGGGACCACGCACGAAGTCTGCAGGTAGGGACAGAAGCTGAGCGCAAAACTGTCACACTACACTGGCTGCCATGTCTGCTGTGTGGCGAGACCTGTTTTTGAGACGTTAGTGATGATGGTGGCAGTGGCTGAGGCAGCGGTCAATGTGTATTGAACAATGACTGGCCATGCCCTTTGTTCGCATGGAGTCAGTAGCCCACATGTCCCACCTCACAGCCACCCGACTAAGGGCCACACACAGCCAGGAAGTGGCAGAGGTAGTTTGCATGGTGCTGGTCTCCTTTATTAAGAGCCCTGGTTGCCTAGTGGTCTCCTTTCTAAAGTGCAGTTGTTAACTACAAGGTTAGCAGTTCAAAACTACCAGGTGCTCTGTGGGAGAAAGATGAGATTTTCTACTCTGTAAAGAGTTATAGTTTCAGAAACTCAACAAGGGCAGTTCTACCCTGTCCTGTATATATAGGGTTGCTATGAATTAACATCGACTCAATGGCAATGAGTTTAGGGTTTGTTTGTTTTGTTTTTGTCTCCTTTATACTATTAAAATTTTTTAAAACTCCAGCTGAGGGCTGGGGGCAAGCAGGCAGAGGGATTCCTAAAGTATTGCTTAGGGCTCCTGCCCTGAGACCACCCACAGACACAGAAAAGCTGTTCTGGGGGCCCTGGAGTATCTCACTTTTTATTCACTAATTAAGCAAGCGTCTGTGCTGGACCCGAGTCTAGGGATGCTAGGTGCTGCAGATGCAGAAAGGCGAGAACAGTTACACACCTGGCCTCCTCCCCTTTATGGGTCTTGCGTCCTCAGAAGTATGTGCAGGCTCCACCCACGTGTCATGAGTGTAGAAGACAGAGTTAACTAGACACATTCTCACTTCCTACTTCCATGCACGCACATATGCCTGCAGCAGTCTAGGAGGCTGAATTTAAATCTGGACTCTGGTGTCCCAGGCCAGGAGTCCACATGTGACTTCAGCAGGGAGTGTTAGGAATGAACTCCTCTGTCTACCCCCAACTCCAGCCTGTGCCTAGGTGCCTGGGCGTGTGTGTGTGTGTGTGTGTGTGTGTGTGTGTGTGTGTGTACACACAAGTGTGAATGTGTGTACACCAGCCCACACCTCAAGCTGTAGCCACCAATCCAAAAAACCAAACCTACCACCATCGACTCCCTTCGGACTCATAGCGAGCCTGAGGGCAGAGCAGGACTGCTCCTGAGGGTTTTGGGGACTGTCGATCTTTAT